CATATATTTTAAATCTTTTCCTTTCACTATGTATCCTGATACCAGATGCGTTTCACATTGTTTGATTGAAAAGGGAACTACCCTTGGTATAAATGTAAAATAATGTACTGACATTGAAAGAGTAACAGATGTCATGTATTATACATTAGGATTTATAATGCACATTTTCAGTAGTAACTTTGCTTACTTAGAAAATTATTAAAAAATTGCTATTAAATATTAACAAAGGTACCGGTTTGCGCAACATGTAGTGAGGTTTTAGTGCATGTGTCTGTCTTATGACCGTCTAATGCATCAGTAAATTGATTTTAATAGTCTACAACCAAACATCTTGACTTAAGGTCAATTCACTACTGGTAGCCTTTTCTGCAAAGTTATTGTGTACTGAAGTACTAAGCAGAAAAGAAAGACTCTTGAGAGGCCTGTAGCAGTTGTGACTATGTTGAATTTAACAATGGTTATTGAGACTGATTGAAAAACTCTTCTGTGAACAGTCTTGAAATGCATCCTTGAACAAATTCATCTATGGATGAAAAAATGACCTCTGATGCCTGTTTTTGCCAAGATATGGTCATCACCTCACTGAGGCTGAATATGTTTTTCCAAATAGCATTTCATATGCCTTGTAAATATTGTTCCCTTTGCATGCGGGGACTTTTCCTTTCTACCTTAAGGCTGCATAGTATGGTTTTTGTAGTTAAAGTGCTGCCTCAGCCACATGTACTGATAATAAAAAGCAGCTTTGTTATCACAATGATTTGCTGCAGTGACTGCTTCTATCAGTACATTCTACAAGCTACAACAGCCAGCCAGGAAAACATCTACAACCAACTTTTCTACAGCTTCTTCCTCCATATTCAGTCTGTTTGTTGTCGCTGGCTGTCAGTTTTGTCAATCCCTGCTTCTTATTTGATGTTATTTAGTCATTCACTGTCATGAATGCTTCTCTAAGATGTTGAACTGCGATGCTAAAAAGATGCCAGTCACAGCACTTTTTTTCAAAGTGACATCTTTCTGTCAGCCTTCCCGTTAACTTTAAAGTAGAACAGCAGTTGGAAAGAAGCCGAATGGTGTGAACACGGCTTACAGTGGCGATCACACTGGATGCTTTGAAATCCAGCGGCAGAGTACTCCTAGATTTTTCTCTGGAACCAGACTGCTGAGCCTTTTTGTTTCTCTGCTACTAGCATAACCCAGTTCTAGCAATGTGCATTCATGTCTCTTTAGCTTCAGTCACATCAGAAGCATTTTAAACAACACTGATAGACATCTTTACTGCAGCCCTCTCTGGTCGCTGTGATTGGCACATTACACGATGTCAAGCCTGTCTATAGGTAATTCTACTTTGGCTCAGTCACACAGATGAAATGCAAATCAATTGCTTCAATGTTTGCTTTTCCTGCAGTGTGAGGTAGTGGAAGAGTTATATTCACAATATTGTGGCATTAAAATATACATGTCTGTAGTAGTACTTCTAACTTGTAACGTTTGGAGATTAAACTTGCTCTGTGGTTAGAGTTTTCCCAAATATACCTTGATGTTAAGGGCCGGATCCAATCGTTCATTTAGTGTTTTCAGTCTGTTTCAAACTGTATTCTGTGCAGTATGCAAGATGCAGTTTCACATTAACTTTATCTTTCCTGATGAGAATGTCTTGACCTGTGCTAAAATATTAAGTGTGTTACATCAATCTGTCTGTTTCCCTATTTTCCTTTCTCCCTCACTCAACATTAAACTGTAAAATAGATTATTAGCTATAGATGGACTCCAATCCGCTCATTACATGTCCCATTTACCTTCACTGCATAACGCTCTACTTTTCATAACGAGGCAGACAAAGAAGGGATGACGCAGGAAGGAAGAAGGAATGCACATATGGAAAGATCTAGACAGAATGAAAACAACACAGATAAATGTGTGTGTGTGCGTGTGTGTGTATGTGTGTATGTGTGTATGTGTGTATGTGTGTCTGTGTGAGTGTGAGTGTGAGTGTGAGTGTCAGTGTGAGTGTGAGTGTGTGTGTGTATGTGTGTGTGCATGAGAGAGTATGTCAACAAGAGAGAGTTTGAAAGTGAAGAGATGGGGACAAAGATACCCCAAGAAAGATAATGCTCATGAAGAAATAGAATGTTACATCGAGGGAATCAAATTGTGGGTGAACAATGTGCCAGTGAATTAGGAAAAGATTAGGAAATTATTATTTTTCGATACAGTCTCTACTAGTAGTGTGAAATATCTATTCATATCAAACACTCCACAATTAAAAACAGAACAAATCCTCATGACTATGCTTCAGTCCGTTGTTTCTTTCCCTACCATTTAACAGCTAATGACTGACGACGAAGAGGGGGGCGTATTTGAAGCATGTAATCGCTTTTTTTTTTTAATCAGTGTTATTTTTCTATAGTTTTCATTAGCCTTGCAGTAGGTGATGCAGTGGTGAGGTCAGTGCAATGTGTGTGTGTATGTGTGTGTGTGTGTATGTGTGTGGGGGGGGGTGCATTTTACTTTGTATGCCTGTCCCTTTCTGTTCCTGATGTATTCATAGGGTTGAACTGACAAAGCTGTGTGTGCGGTGATAAGTGGTTTTACATCATGCATGCCATACATTTGTTTTTAATGTGGGTTTAAATCCATACATTATTTATGCGTGTGTCCATACACTTTAATGGGTGGGTTGTACTTAATGTGTTGAAGGTGTGTCAGTATTTTAATGCTCTTTTTCAGCAGCTGGATTACATTTGTTTCAATACCTGTGTTTTTAAATTAATGTCATGTCTTTGTGGATGTACTTTGTGTGCATGCATAATCAAATGTGTGTAATATGTGATGTATTTCCATATATTCATGCTGTTAAGTGGTGACCTTTTTGTTGTTATGAAGCAAATGATGACAAAGTCAATTTAAGGCAAAACCTAGGCATTGAGAGCTTTTCAACAGCAATGATTGGTCATTTGTAACGAAATTAAACTGCATAAAAGGGACAGTGTGTAGAAGTTGGTGACATCTAGCATTGCACTTGCATATTGCAAACCAAATGAATGCCCCTCCACTGAGCACTCCCCTTTACAATCCTGAAGTAATGAGTGTGGTTTGTCCATTCTGAGCTACAGTAGAAACATGGCAGTGCAACATAACCAAGATGTGAGGGAGGTGTGAAGTTACATTGTGATAGGAAGATATTGGGAGGAGGAGGTGCGAGAACATTGGGTCAATGGACGGGTCAATGGACGGATCAATGGACGGATCAATGGACGGGTCAATGGACGGGTCAATGACGATAAGCAAGGTGATGAAAACTGCTGTGAAGGAGAGGAAAGAAAAAAGGAAACACTCCAGTGACTTATAAACCTATGGGCTGTTTTAGTTTTCATCAGGATATAGCGCCAGTGGAGTATTGGATTATTTAGGGTATGAGCAGAAATGGAATCCAACATTCATAACTTGATTCCATTATGCGTTTATCAGCTGCAACAAACAATCGTACATGTTGTGTGACTTTAGGATGGGCTGTTTATATCTACATAGTAAAATCTAGGTTTCCTCCACCTAATCAAGCTCCGTTTGCTCCCGCTGCTCCAAATGCCTCCTCTCTCTCCTCTCCTTTGATCCCTCTTGCATAAATGGGGTACTATTTCCCCTACCCAATTTGCCTTGCTTTCAACCATTATTTCTTTCCACTGACCATCCATCTCATATCTCTATGGCAAATGTTCAAATGTATCTTGGTTTGTGAATATTTTTCTCATCTGAAGAAAATTCCCTTTCTTTTTTATGTCATCGCTTGGGATTACCCGGTGAGAGGAGAATCTGGGAGAGATGATAGTGTGAATACAAGCAAACTAAAAGAATGTCACTCATTGAGGGAGATAGCTTTAGCTCAGATTTAGTCAGACAACAACTTTGTGTGCCCAACATTCTGCATCAACCTCATCAGACACTCTTCAATTGGTCTAATTAAAAAATGTGTCATATCCTTCGACAGGAAATCTTCAGGGTGCCTGTAAATGTTTTAGACAGAGATGAGTCATTGATAAGGCAGCTGCCAAGCATGATGCCAGCTGATTCATATATTTCAGATAGATTTCAATACATGAAATGCTTAAGAAGAAGGACGGTGTGGTAATTTTGCTCCCCCTGAATTCCTTCATATTTTTGCAGCATCTTGGTTTTCTCATCACTTCTTTGAATTCCCTTCTCCACCTCTCTTTCTTCTCCTTCCTCCCTCTCAGTTTTTGTTTTCCTCACTGGACAAAAGCCACTGAATAAAGCTGAGACAATAGTAATGAAGAAAGCTGCCTAACCCTAACCCAGTGAAGTTACAGGGGAACCAGCAGTCGGAGGTATTGTGCTTTTGTAAGCAACTTTAGATCCGACTCAGCCGAGCCAAGCGTAATTGAGGAGCCGCCTGTGGTCAAAAGTACTCAGTTTCATACTGTATTATTTTCTATCAAAACATTAGAAAAATCGTCATTTTGACAAGAACTTTCCCTCATTATCTCACATTATTTTCAAACGAATGAATTTGACGCACACTGTGTTTATGGATTCAAGTAGCGGCTCTAAAGGTAATCAACCCTGGTGCAGAGGAGAATCCGAGTAAACACTGTGCACTACATGTGTTCAAGTGCATGTATCAGTGAAGGCTCCACTCAGTAACAGCCTGACCCATGTACCCTGTAGCCCAGAGGACTTTTGTTCCCTTTGTCAAACTTGTCAGACTGCCAATCACCAGCACAACACTTACTGCACGGAGCTGATTATAACTCACAAGCACCCTGTGCCACAGGCATTTCTAGTAAGCTAATTCAGCAGCTTAAATGAAACAACATTCTTTCGCTCAAAATCGGGATACAATTCCTAACAAGAACACAACATTCCTCATATTATACCACAACTACATTATTAACATCAAGGGGAAATTGTGAGCCAATGTGCCAGACAGCACAAACATACATAGGCCCTACCTATGTGTACTCGCAAAATAATTTGTTACTTACTTTAGATCCTGGAAGGGTTCTGCTCTTACATGTGATGTCTCGACAGAATGGCTGAACACCACACCTTCATTCCCTGTAGAGAGGGTAAGAGTGGATGAAAGGAAGGAACATAAAACACATCAATCTTTTGTGAGAGACTGCACACTGTTGCATCACACCTTGGTTTCTTCGAGCTGAGGCAAACACTTACACGGCATGACACAGTGCCTTCACACATGCCTTATACACATGTTTAAACATCAGAGTAGTTCAAGTCTGTACATTAACTGGTAACAGGTAGGACCAATGAAGTGATTAGTAAGAAGATGTTATGGAGGCCTGTGCGGTATTTGACTTAGATGGGGGTTAATGTCCAATCTCTCATTGATGTTAATGTTGATTTGTTTGTTAAACTATTATATGAAATGCATAATCCTTACCTTGACAAAGTATTTCAAGTAATTAAAGATATGTTTTTGTGACCAATGCTGTTCAGTATTTTCTAAGATGTCATTCACCAGTCCTGCTACAACATATTTTACTGTAGCATAGCAGTGATATGAACATAAATGCTCAGAGAAATGGATGGTACTGAAACAATGCAGTGTTTTTGGGGGAAAGTGCTGGTCCTGGCTTCTGCTAAGAAAGCATGTTTGAAATGCAGCACTGCTACAAATGTAATACTGCACATGGAAACAATACCCATTGGCAGGCCCACTGACAACAATGGCCACTTCTGTTTTTCTTTGAAACTGAAGCAAGTTGAGTTTAATTCAAAGAGGACTTGCAGGGAGGAAGCAGACCACCATGAAAGTGCAGCTGTACCTCCAAAGGACTACAACTTGGAAGCTGCTGTTGCTTTTTTAGCTGTGAAAAGCAGCTCTATTGCGCTGAAGAGCTTACAAACATAAACTTTACACACCCAGAGGAGCTGTATTTTGAAACAGAAATGTCGTAATATATATTGGTCACTGGGTACCAGTCTGTGTAAAGGGAAACTTTGACCAATGTACTGAACTGATTCTAAGGCTAGAGTTCAGATGAGAACAAATCCGAGGTTGTTTGTGATGGTATGCAGGAATGCATAGACGTTTGTGCATGGGCAGCTATTTGGCATAGTTATCTGAGTTGTTTCCAAGGCCCACTAAACACAGCACAAATTTGTGTTGTGCAACTGTCTACAGAAGGAAAGAAGAAAAGAGAATATGTTCCCATTTCTCTCAACGATGGTGGAGATGGCAGTTTAGAGTTTGAGTGTTGCTATGTTTGATTGCTGCTCTGTACAATGATGTTTTCTCACTAGCAAGCACAGGCCAAGTTTGTCCCGGCTCATTGTCTGAGATACTCTCCTAAGCACTGCGCTGTGAGCATTAAATGTTTATGAGCTTGTCGAAGCCTTTTTGGATGGCACCTGTACAAAATACTCATGAAGAGTTTCAAAGCAAAAGCCAGGACACTAAAACCAACATCATTCACACTGGGTTCGTATTTTCACAAAAGGAATTCAAGCCTAAGCCTACTAGATCATACCTCACAAGCTTAAAACAATAATACAAATGTAAACAGTGGATAGGATAGTTCCACTTGATATCATTGCATGAGCTGAATATATATGTTAACAGTGGCATTCTCTCCACTGTATATTTTCATATCTCTGACCTCCATTAAACAGTAACATGATGGTATGATTCTTTCAGAGTGCCTCTAATGGACACATATTCTGTATTACCATGGTCTGTTTCTGTGGATTTTGTATTTGTAGCTGACTTTTTTTGGTTGTGTAAATTTGTATTTTGTACATTCCTGAAAGAATACTGACATATTCAAACATGCAAGCAAATGAGATGTGCACACACAAACACACAGTTCCACTTGACATTCTCACTCACATTTAATTTGACAGAATGACTAAATTAGAGAAAACTGACAATGTAATGCACCACGACTTTTCCTTTCTCACTCTTGAGACTTCCTTTTCATTTTGTTTAAATTGTTTTGTTTCTCAATTTCCTCTGCAATTTTAAGCACCTGGCCTTGCTCTGACATGTCATCCATCTGACTTTTTTCACTTCCCTTCTATCTCTGTTGCTCTTTTCTTCTCTCGTTTCAGCAATACTTGCTCTGATTGACCCTAGTCTTGTTTGGCTGCACTTATCAAGAGCACTCTGTTTAACAGCTTACAGCGGGCGTATGTTATGTGAGCTGTGTGCGTCCTCAAGTAACCTTGTTACACAAATTAGTCTGAGCCCACTGTTGGCCCCTTCTTAAATCATCGGTTCTTTTTGTAAACTCTGTTCATCATGAATGTGGAAAATTAGCATAGTAGCCCATCATAACTGTGACTTCTACTATGATATATGTGGAACATTTTAATATTCATTCATGGCTTTTCCATGATCAGTTACATAGTTTAGGCAGCACTAGGTCATTACAATGTCATAAATATGATTATACGTTATATTTAGTTACACAATTAATTGCACTCATTATGCCTTACGGAATAGCCTTTCAATTGATCCAACCTGCACAACATTTTTGTTGCCTTTAAAGATTCCCTGAAGAGTTTTCTTGTCAACAAACAAAATCAAGGTTTACATTCAGTGTAATTCACCGGAATGCATTGAGTCTATCCTTAGGCTTTATTAAATGTGTTGGACATATTTCCGTCCTCATAAAACGTAAAAAATGTGGGTACTGTACTTTGAATAAAAAATTGTTTACATCCATGTTTATCTGAATTGTCTTCCCTGCACAATGCTGCATGTATTGGTGTTTACTGGCACCAGTGTATCAGTGGGATAGTGTGAAACCACGGGCAGGAATGTGTTTTGTATCACAAGCAGGAGCCTACTAAGTAAGTAACTAAGTCCACAGATGCACTTATGGTGCAAAACTCCACAGGGAAACATTTTTGGAAAAACAATCTGTAGTTCAAAAGCACCATGTTGTAATATTGTGTACAGTATGTGTTACACTGTGCTTACCTGTGACCCTAAGTTTCTCGGTGCCGATGGTGATCTCCTCTTCGTCTGCAGAGAACAGAACCGTCTCTCCATCGGTGCTCCTCACCTCAAACCTCTGACACTGAGCCTCCACCATTTCTGAACCTGAGGAAAAGGGAGAGAGTGAGAGGGGCACAGGGTTAAGATCTATAGCAGAGGAACATTCAAAGAACATAAAACGAGTCATCTTGTTGAGTTTATTTTTTATTTTGTTCCAAAGCTCCTTACAGAACCATCAGTGGTTTATCTCAGAAGACCACATACTTGAACTCTAATCCCCCTGAAGTGTTGTCTTTCTGTGAATGCAGTGCAACATTTGGAATACTAACATGATCCATGCTGTTGTGATACGTAATCAGTAGGGCCATATAGAAAAATGATTTAGTCTGTGGGGCAATTTCCCACGTGGAATAATCCCCAGAACAACAATGCTGGTTGAAACTACTTTCTTCTGAAGAATCAGTCGATATGGAAACTGTTGGCAGTGTGCTCTTTGGATTATTGAAAGTAAAGGAGGGCTGTTATTGTAAAGGGAGTTATTCAATGCTTTAAGAACCAAGCACTGAATTCCATTAACTTCCATTGTACTCCGGTTGCAGTATAGAAAAAATAAATGAATCTGCATCGCTAGATAATACAAGAGGTGCATTTTTTTGTTACTTGAGTAAAGTGAAGGTTTTATACATAACTCATGGAAACTAGATGGTGGGAAGTTAGGTGCTGTTATACACACGCTTTCAGTAAAGATACAGTGTAAGCTGAGACCTCAGACGTGAAATTAAACTAACAAAAGTCAGGTCTGCGTTGTGTATTCATAAAGTCCCTGTAAAACTTGTGCATAATAACTTTTCCCTTAATTTACATTTCAATTCATGATTGTGCCTTAAGGATAAATAGTATCCTTTGAAGAGAAACGCCTGGTGTGAAAAAGAAAATATAAAGCCTAAATTATACATTGAAAACAATATTTTGGACTAACTGCATAGTTTCTACCTCATGTGGAGGCACTCAGACTGACACTGAGAGATTTTGGTTGCGAGGTTCCTGTAAAAAATGAATTACCTATTCACAGTAACAGTATAAACACATTTACATTCAATTTACATAGTGAACAATGTGGAAAGTGTGTGGACTCGAAAATAGAGTAAGCAGAGAGAAAAGAGGGAGTACAATTATTCTGTTTTTAAGGGTAACAATATCAACCCCTTTTTGCTTTAAAACAAATGTTGAAGAACAATAAGTTCCCTGCTTAATGTTTGCATGCACTTGGTACAAAGATGACAAATGAACAACAGTGGTCACTTTGGCAGTTTTCCTTTTGTTCATACACCTTGCCCTTAATATCGTGATTTGGGCTGCGATGTGCTGCCATGCCAACCCTGCTGAGCCAAAAGAAAAGCCTCCCTCTCTTTATCTCCTTTCATCACTGCCCGGTCTTCCAGGCTATTGCAAATGTCAATTAGTAACCAAAAGTGCCATGTCAGTAAGAATCAAACTTTATTAGCAGCCATCAATCTGGGATTAAGCTCTTTTTCTCAACTCTCTCTCACTGTCGTTTTCCGGTCTATCTTTCCCCGTCTCGTTCAACAACTGTGCGAAAAAAACCATTGACATTTGTTTTGTGCAAGGTGCACTTAAGTACTGTGTGTATGCGTGTTACACATATAGCTAAGACTTGGATTTGACAGTTAAAGAGATGGGGGAAGTATGGAGACGGGGGAATGAAGGAATGCAAAAGTTAGAAGGGGAGATGCAGCCGGTTTAAATGTAATATGTGCTTTGTTAGTTGATTTCTCAGACATCTAGTTAGTTCTCTTTGACTGTTTAGCGCTCGTCCTATAATACAGCTCGTAGGGAAGATTTACAACATGGGTTCATGTCAGCATATTTCCAACGATTTGTGTTTTATTCACATATTTATTTTCTCCTAATCTTCTTGAAAGAGGTGTGTAAAAGATGCTAAAAAACACGAGGTAGGCAGCTTTACTGATAGTTAGGAAAATAAAGTTTGAGAATAATGGAGGTCTTTTACATTTAATAAATTCTCACATGTACTGTAGATACAGATCGGCGGCATCAGACAAAGAGCTAAAAGACGAAGACAACATGAGATTGTTTATAATTGAGTGCCTGTATCTACTCAAGGAGGCAGGTGCTTATAAAATACTTTTTTCTTTAATTACAGTTCATCTTGTCTTTGCACTGGGCTGTAATTTGTGATTACATAGAAATCCTGCCTATGGCTCAACGCTAAATTAAAATGAACCTGGAAGAAAACAAATAATTGCCTGGAATGAACAAAAGCACTTTTGTTATCGTATGTGTGCGCTCACACCAGCAGGAACAAGATGAGACAAAGTGGCCAGAAGTTATTTGTTTCAAATGATTGCTTTGAGATAAGAACAGCAACACCTCCGCAGAGCTATTTTACTTCATGCAAATGAACAATTGTGCAGTGCAGCGATGGAAAATTAAACGGTAGATGTGTTCACTTCATGTTTTTTTTATTCAGTAAAACTTCTTTTGAGTTTTGTTCTGATTGATGTGTCAGTCAGTAATCGTCTAAAAGAAAGGCTTTTTATAGCTGCAGTCATTTCTGAAATGTTTTTGATAATGTATTTTAGCACTGAGAACAGTGAGAAGAATAAAGCATAACAAGCAAGGACCATCAAGGCTCTCTGCAGCACATCTAATGAAACGTAGACACTTTGAAATGTCAACTATATTGCGTTAAGTGTCTGCTGTCAAAGTACACGTTTGACACATTTGGTTGTCAACAACAAGAACATAGTTTTGCCTAATAATAACTATTTGATCTTTTTGGTTTCATCTTGATAGCTTTTTGCAGGTAGCTAATGTTATTTCTGTGTAAATTAAGTGCTTGGATCAATTAATTTGCTCCCTCTCGCTCTGATGACACCAAAGTAATTCTTCTGTCACCAATAACAGCAGGACCATTTTTAGGAAGACACGTTAATTGATGCACTTATTTCAATAATTACTTTGTGACAGGATTGCCTCTGTTGTCACAAGTTCCTCCCTCAGCAGGATCCTTCGGTAATAATAAAGCTTTAAGAATAATTTTAAGAAGATAAAGTAATGGTAGAAAATGAAGCATGACAGTACAGTGCATGGGACTGAGTCTTATCTGAACTTTTTCACATCTAAAGCGTGAGTCTGCAGAGCCATTAGGGTGCCCTGCAGAGATCACAGGCATTTTAATTTTAAACATGTTAATAGACCACTGCATTTAATTTATTAACACTTAGCATAAAAACTACATTTCATTTGGGATAACGAATGCATGCTGCAGTCCCTTTTCCCTATTCATTTGTTAAGTCATTACCGGCAATTTTTGCTAAATTTGCATGAATGTATTACAGTGTGTGGAACTTATTTTCTGTATTTGGTCACCTGAGAGAAGTTAATGTTAAAGCCAATGACCTTTCTTCTGTTCTGCATTGAGAGATCACACAAGTGCTTAAAACAGTTTGTGACATTTATGTAGTCTAAATATTTGTTCTCTCTGTGCGTGTCCAGCCTGGAGTAGTTCTTGGGAACTTCCCTGGCCATGTGTATTTGCATATGTGAATGTTAATATACTGTTTAGCGAAGAAACACCTCTTAACTAAGGCAGTTTTGTCTTTTGGCTATGAAGAGAATGTCGACTACATTTTGCCTCATTTAAATCCTGCTGTACTTTTCCTTAGGTCAAAATTAAGGCAATATGCTAAATGTAGCATAAAAGCGTTTATGTGATAGATGAGGTTATATAACTCACACACTTGTGCCCATGCACTGTTGGTTAGGGAGTTTTTAAAAACTGATGTATCTGTCTGTTTTAAATGCTTAGGTGGGTCTGGCAAATTCACTTTTCACATTTTATGATTTGGAGAACAGCCTTGGTTCTCCAGGCAGGGCCCACTCAACAGATTCTACACAAAAAAGGTTAAAGGGAATTCAGGCCTCTTTAGAAGGAGCATCAGTAAAATGTCCTTTTCACAACTGGAGCCATAATAGCTAGCTCTAAAGGATTTGTCCAATAATGGAAGGTGCACATCTTTATAACTTTAGCTTTACCTCTCCAAGGTGTGCCTGTGAGTGCGACATAATCTCTCCTTTAGTGTATAAAAGACACATTATCTTGAAGTGTCTAAACCGTCCCATGGTTATTGCAGTTATTGCATGGTTTATGAGTTTATGTTTTGAATGCTAAATAATCACACGCAATTTTACATTATGTGTTGTCAGAATATGTGTGTGTGTCTGTTTATGAGTAAAATGCATTGAGTGCCATGGGCATGAATTAATCATCAGCCAGTTTACCAGATGCTGTGCTACATCATTTAGAGATGCAACTAGGCTTGCAAGTGCCTTGGTCTCTGTGCCTAGAAATAGAAACAGTTTTTTAGCACACACACATGATTAGTTACAACTGGACATACGTATGTATGCTCCTAGGAACCTGGGGCAGGCACAAGTCTATGTTCTTTGAAAAACACATTTGTGTCAATTTAACCCTAACGGCAAACTCGGTGTTAGATTATATTGGCATTAAGCCTCTTGTGACTATGCTCCAATGATCAACCACTACATACGATTTAAAGTGTTAAGTATATTTATGCATATCATTGTATGTGATTATCTGTGTGTGTATTCATTATAGTAATGTGACAAAGTAGTACATTTAAATAGTGATTGCAATATACACAAGCTTTACTAGTGAAAATCCCAGGCTTTTATTTTATGTGTACTCTCGCAAAATAACTTTATGTCAGGTGAATAATTTTGGCTTCGACTGGATTTCACTCACTAAACTTCCTGATTAGTTATTCAAACATGACAAGACTTATCTGCGGATTAGGATGAGTCAGGAGTCAGGATGATATGCTTGTCAGTTCCCCTCCTGTCTAGAATGTCAGATTTAATGAATATTCAAAAGCCAGTGGGCTCTTTTGTGTGTTCTGCAAGGAAAGATGTTCCTAAGGGGGAATTTGTGCAAACACACATTACGCAAGACATGGCACATGTGTAGACATATTAAATGAAATGTTCAGTAAAATGTTTCTTCATCCTCTACTTGGAAATATTAACAGATCATTCCC